ACAGATGTGTTGGAGGAGGAGTGGGGTGGGGAGTTAAAATGGGCAGTGACCGGGAGGTCAGGCTGGCCGTTATGGGCCAGGCGGAGATGGTCATCAAAATGGTCACCTAGTCTACGTTTGGTCTCACCAATGTAGAGAAGACCACATCGGGAGTACCGGATGCAATAGACTCGGTTGGAAGAGATGCAGGTGAAGCTCTGTCTCACTTGGAAGGACTGTTTAGGGCCCTGGATGGAGGTGAGGGAGGTGGTATGTGAGCAGGTGTTGCATATTTTACAGTAACATGGAAAGGTACCGGTGGGTTGGATTGGTTGGTGGGGTGTGTGGCGTGAACTAAGGAGTGGCGAAGGGAATGGTCCTTGCGGAAGGCAGAGAGGGGTGGGGAATGGAGATGTTCCGGGTGGTGGGGTCTAATTGGAGTTGGTGGAAGTGTTTGAGACTGATACATTGGATGCAGTGGATTGGAAAGTGAGGACAAGGGGGGACCCAATCTTTATTATGTTTGGAGGGGGTTGGTGGTTAAGAACTGTGGAGTGGGGAATGGAGGAGGGGCAGTGGAGGGCTGTTTGGATGACAGAAGGGGGAAAAGAGCGTTGTTTGAAAAAGGCAGACAACTGGGATGCTTGGGAGTGGAACATCTCCTTGTCAGAGCAGATGCGACGGCGATGGAGGAATTAGGAAAATGGGATGGAGTTTTTGCAGGATTTGGAGTAGGAGGAGGTGTAGTCTGGGTAGCTATGGGAGTCTGTGGGTTTATGGTAAATATCGGTCTGTAAACTGTCGCCAGAAATGGAAATAGAGAGATCAAGAAAGGGGAGGCAGGTGTCTGAGACAGACCAAGTGAATTTGCGAGCAGGGTGGAAGTTGTTAGCGAAGTGGATGAACTGCTCCAGTGCAGCCTGGGTGCAGGATACAGCACTGATACAGTTATTGTTGTAACAGTGGAAGAGTTGAGGAACATTACCGGTGTACATACTGAAGAGGAACTGTTTGACATAACCAACAAACAGGCAGGCGTATCTGGGGCCCATGCGAGTGCCCATGGCCACCCCCTGGATTTGGGGAAAGTGGGAAGAATTGAAGGAAAAGTTATTGAGGGTGAGAACTAGTTCAGCGAGGTGGAGGAGGTATTGGTGGGGTGGTGGGGGGGAACTGGATGGGTCTGTTGGATAGCAAAAAGCTGAGGGCCTGTAGGCTGTCCTTCAGAGGTGTGGATGTGTACAGGGACTGAACATTCACAGTAAAGAAGAAGCATTTTGAATCCCTAGCACTGATCTCCCCTGTTACTGTTGACCAATCCTCATTTGACTCAAATGACTCATTTATCCTGACATAGTACGAACTGCAGATGCTGGAGAATCTGAGATAACAAGGTGTAGAGCTGGATGAACACAGCAGGCCAAGCAGCATCAGAGGAGCAGGAAGGCTGACGTTTCGGGCCTAGACCCTTCTTCAGAAATGGGGGAGGGGAAGGGGGTTCTGAAATAAATAGGGAGAGAGGGGGAGGTAGATAGAAGATGGATAAAAGAGAAGATAGGTGGAGAGGAGACAGACAGGTCAAAGAGGCAGGGATGGAGTCAGTAAAGGTGAGTGTAGGTGGGGAGTTAGGGAGGAATTGGGAATAGGGGATGGCATTTTCGCAGGAAGGTGGGTGGGAGGAGGTGTATTCTAGGTAGCTGTGGGAGTCGGTGGGCTTGAAATGGATACTGAATGAACCCCACCTCTTTCTCTGTTACATTGATGACTGTATCAGCGCCGTCTCGTGCTCCCACGAGGAGCTCGAACAGTTCATCCACTTCACTCACACCTTCCACCTCAACCTTAAGTTCACTGGGGCCATCTCTAATACCTCTCTCTCCTTCCTGGACCTCTCTGTTTCCATCTCTGGCAACCACATAGAAACCGATATCCGTTTCAAGCCCACCGACTCCCACAGCTACCTAGAATACTCCTCCTCCCACCCACCTTCCTGCAAAAATACCGTCCCCTATTCCCAGTTCCTTCGACTCCGCCGCATCTGCTCCCAGGATGAGGCATTCCACTCCCGTACATCTCATATGTCCTCGTTTTTCAAGGACCGCAACATCCACACCCCCTCAGTGGTTGAGAACGCCCTCGACTGTGTCTCCCGCATTTCCTGCAACTCATCCCTCACACCCCTTCCCCGCAATAACAACCAAAACAGAATCCCCCTCGTCCTCACGTACCACCCCACCAACCTCCGGATCCAACGCATCATCCTCCGACACTTCCGCCATCTGCAATCTGACCCCACCATCAAAGACATTTTTCCCTCCCACCCTTATCGGCTTTCCGGAGGGACCACTCTCTCCGTGACTCCCTTGTCCGCTCCACACTCCCCTCCAGCCCCACCACACCGGCACTTTTCCCTGCAACCGCAGGAAGTGCTACACCTGCCCCCACACCACTCCCCTCACCCCCATCTTAGGCCCCAAGACTTTCCACATCAAGCAGATGTTCACCTGCAAGTCTGCTAATGTGGTATACTGCATCCGCTGTTCCCGTTGTGGCCTCCTCTACATCGGGGAAACCAAGCGGAGGCTTGGGGACCGCTTTGCAGAACACCTACGCTTGGTTCTCACTAAACAACGGCACCTCCCAGTTGCGAACCATTTCAACTCCCCCTCCCATTCCTCAGATGACATGTCCATCCTGGGCCTCCTGCAGTGCCACAACGATGCCACCCGAAGGTTGCAGGAACAGCAACTCATATTCCGCTTGGGAACCCTGCAGCCCAATGGTATCAATGTGGATTTCACAAGCTTCAAAATCTCCCCTCCCCCTACCGCATCCCAAAACCAGCCCAGCTCGTCCCTGCCTCCCTAACCTGTCCTTCCTCCCACTATCCCCTCCTCCCACCTCAAGCTGCACCCCCATCTCCTACCTACTAACCTCATCCCGCCCCCTTGTCCTGTCTGTCCTCCCTGGACTGACCTATCTCCTCCCTAACTCCCCACCTACACTCACCTTTACTGGCTTCATCCCTGCCTCTTTGACCTGTCTGTCTCCTCTCCACCTATCTTCTCTTTTATCCATCTTCTATCTACCTCCCCCTCTCTCCCTATTTATTTCAGAAACCCCTTCCCCTCCCCCATTTCTGAAGAAGGGTCTAGGTCTGAAACGTCAGCCTTCCTGCTCCTCTGATGCTGCTTGGCCTGCTGTGTTCATTCAGCTCTACACCTTGTTATCTCATTTATCCTGACTCTCTTTGTTTCATGTTAGTTATCCAATTTTCTACCCTTCGTGATATACTCTCCTTCACTGTCTTTTGAGGCAGTGTTCCAAGTAGATCAATTCTTTAAGAGAAAAATACCTACCCCTCCCCAGCCTACAAGAGCACCCGTTAATTTCAAAACAGTATCTCCTAGTTCTGAACTCTCCCACAAGAGTAAACATCAATTTCATGTCCATCTTGTCAAAACCATTCAGGATCTTACACACTTCAATCAAATCACCCCTCACCCTCTAACTCCAGTAGAAACAAGTCCAGCATGTCAATCTTTCCTCACAAAATAACCCACTAATTGCAAATAGCAATCTAATAAACTTCCTCTATCACATTTACATCCTTCCCTAAATAAAGAGACCAAAAGTACACACAGTATTCAAGGTGTGGTCTCACAAATGCCTTGTATAACTAAGTATAATACTGCATACTGGTACCATCACTACGGCTGCCCATTTCATCTGTTCTGAAAACCCTCATGCATGCCTTTTTAACTCTATTTTAATGCATTCCTGGATGCATGTTTGCCTCCAACATTCTACGTTGGAGTTTAGAAAAGAGAGAGGCAACCTTATCGAAACATACAAGATTCACAGAAGGCTTGAAAAGGGAAGTGCAAAGAGATTGTTTTCCCTTTGGGACAGTCCAGAAGCAGACAGCATAATCTCAGAACACAGGTAGTTCTGCTATAATGTGTGTTTCATTAATGCGAATTGGCTGTAACGTGATTGATAAATAGTGAACGTTGTTAGGATAACACAAATTTTCTGCTGTACAGATATAGTGATTTCCCTATAACCCAATTATCTATGGTGATTTTCTGTAGCGTGATTTTCTATAGTGCAAGGTCATGCAAGAACACAACTATCGCGTTTTCAGAGAACCACCTGTAAATGATCATCTCATTCAGCTCATAGATAAGGAGGAATTTCTACTCTCAGACTGGCGTGAATTTGTGGGATTCTTTACCACAGTTGAGGATTATCAGATGAGTCATGATCTCATTGAATGGTGCAGCAGACACAGTGGGCAAAAATGGTTCATTTCTGCTCGTACATCTCATGCTCTTTTCCCATTAAGAGCTCCTTAAATCCCAACTTTCTTTTTGGATAAATTGCCATTCATCTGCCTTAAATCTACTTTTGTGGCTCAGTCTCCAATTTTGCTTAGCACATTCCTGTGAAGTGTCTTTGGACATTTTACTCCTTTAAAGGTGCTACATGAAAACAAGATGTTGCTTTGTCACATTATGTTGTATGTCTTGGTTAATAAAATTACAATCAGCCACAACACTCTTTGTCCTATGTCACACCACCAAAGACCCTCAATCATATGACATCCAATGACTGATAATAGCTAAAATAGACTGATACAATCTTTAAGCTATTTATTATTTTAGACTGAATTAATGTCACCATCTTAAATTAATTTGTAAATCCCTCTCCAATATATTGGCTTGAATTGCTTTCGGGATCATATTTGATTGTGATTTATGAATACAACCTTTGGCACCAGAGACAATTTCATGACTTTTGCCTGCCTGCATTAATCAAAAATGATGATTTTAGAATTTATGTTAGCATGGAAAATTTTCAAAGAAAACAATGGTTACTGAAACTAGGTCCAGTTCTGTCTGTTTTTGATACATGAGAATAAAGCATATCTGAGTGAACAGTGGAACTATTCAATGCAGACTTCATTCATATTGATTCAGGCATTATTCAAGAGAAAGGTAAAGCTATAATTTACTTACATGATACAGGGTGATGGTGTTGTTTTCTGGCAGAGGTGTACTCAGAGAGTCCTGTCGAACAGCATCGAGGTGTACTGGTGTTGGCAGTGCATAATGGCTGATGGGATGGTTCGGACTGCTTAACTTGTCACTTTTCTTTCTGGATCGCTTGCCAGTGTCTCTTTTAGATAAATACTCCTCTTGAATGATAGGGATCTTATCGTCGCTCATGTATCTCATCAGTGAGCTTTCTATGTTTAAAAGAATAAGTGCATAATAAGAAGCCTTGCAATGAGCAATAAATCTGTCCATTAAGGTGACTTTTTTCACATATAGAATGACAGTACCAAATAATTATTCTGCTAATGATTGCTTTGTCAACAGGAAACCACAAACATTTCACTGGAGGAGAAATATGTTTGACAATGTTGATGGATTCACTGTGAAAATCGAAAACACAAAATGCATCCCAGGAATCATAGAAAACCAATGGAAAAAAGGGAGGATATGAAAACAATCACAGTTGTCTGAAAAAAAAGGTAAAGGAAATACCAATTGAAAACTAACCAACTCAGGTGAAAAAGTCGACTGGACCTTCTACCTTACTTCTGAGAGTTATAAAAGAAATGGCTGCAGAAATAGTGGATGCAAACCTTCCAAAATTCCTTTGATGATGGAAAGCTCCCAGCTATTTGCAACACCACAAACGTAACACCTTTATTCATGAAGGGAGGTAGAAAGCAAAAAACTATAGGCCAGTCAACCTAATATCTATTACTGGATCATCCTAGAATCCATTCTTAAAGAGGTAATAGCAGGATATTAAAACAAAACATAACACATTCAGGCAGAGTCAACATGGTCTTGTGAAAGGTAAATAGTGTTTGTCAAATTTATTCAAGTTCATTGGGGATATAACAAGCAGGGTGGACAAGGAAGAATTAGTAGTTGCCTTATTTGGATTTTCCAAGGGTATTTAATAAAGTATCACATGAAAGGCTACACAAGATAAGAGCTTATGGTGTTGGGGATGAGACAGGAGTATGGAGAGAAGACTGGATAACTAACAGGAAAGAGAGATTTGGGAAAAAATAGGTAATTTTCAGGATATTAAACTGTAATGAATGGAGTACCACAGGGATCAGTGCTGGGGCCTTAACTACTTACAATCTACATTTATGATTCGATGAAGGGACTAAATATTGTAACCAAATTTGCTGGCGAGACAAAGCTGTGGCAAGCTGTGAGGAGGATACGAAGAGTCTGCAAAGGGATATAGATACATTAAGTAAATGGGAAATTTTTTGGCAAGTGGACTATAAGGTAGGAAAACATGAGGTCAATTTTTGCAGGAATAACAGAAAAGCATAACATTATTCAATGGAGAGAGATGACAGAATGCTGTAGTAGAGAGGGATCTGAGTGACCCTGTGCATGAATCATGAAAAATAGTATGCAGGTACAGCAAGTCATTTGGAAGGCAAATGGGATGTTGTCTTTTATTTTAAGGGGTTATGTACAAACGTATAAATTAGAACAGTAGTAGACCCATTCAGCCCCTTGAATCTGCTCCCCCATTCAATAAGATCTTGGCTGATCTGTCTGTAACCTCAAATCCACATTCTTGCCTACTACTTTTAACCTTTCAACACCTTGCTTAACATCTACTTCTGCCTTAAAAATATTCAAGGACTCTGCTTCTACCACTGTTTCAGTGAGATAGCTCCAAAGACATTCATATCCCTACATCAATCAGAGCTCTGCAATGTCTCACCATTTAGATAATAAGCTTTTTAATTTTTTATGCCAAAATGGATAACTCCTCATTTTTCTATATTACACTCCATTTGCACAACAATGCCATTTCATTTAGTCTATCAGTATATAATGGAAATTGTGTTCTTGAGTCCTGTTCACAACTTACTTTCCAACCTATCTTTAGATCATCACAAATTTGGCAACTATACCTTCAGTCCCAGTACTGCAGTCATTTATACAGTAAACAGTATAAATCTCAGCACTGATCCCCACGGAACACGACTCATTACATCTTACCAAACCGAAAAGACCCATTTACAATTACCTCCTGCTTCCTGTTAGTCAGCCAATTGCCTAAACATGCCAATACGCAACCCCTTACACCATGAGCTTCTTTTCTTTGATGGCGCACCTTATCAAATTTCTTCTGGAAATCTATGTAAAGTTATGCCCCTGGAACCGCTTTATCTCTAACACGTGTTACCTCCTCAAAGAACTCCATTGAATTGGTCAAACATGAATTCACTTTCATAAAACCATGTTGACTCTGTCTGATTATCTTGAATATATCTAAATGATTTGTTATAACTTCTTTAACAATAATCTGTAACATTTTCCCTAATGACAGATATTAAGTTAACGGACCTCTATAGTTTCCTGCTTTCTGTCTCCCTCTGTTTTTAAATAAAGGAGTCACTTTTGCTATCTTCCAATCTAATGGGATCATCCCCGAATCTAGGGAATTTTGGGAAATTAAAATTGATGCATCAACTATCTCATTGACCACTTCTTTTAAGAGTTTAGGACGAAGCCCATCAGGACCTGGCATTTGTCAGTTCACAGCTCCAACAATTTACACAGCACTATTCCCTAGTAATTATGATTTTCCAGACTTCCATCCATCCTCCCTTTCATTTCCTGGTTTATCATTGTTTTCGGGGGCGTTACTTATATGCTGTATAGAGAAGACTGCTGCAAAGTACCTCAACTATTCATATGCCATTTCCTTATTTTCCATTATTAATTCTCCAGTCTCATTTTCCACAGGTTCAACAGGGACATTGTTTCAATGAAAGATTCTCCAATTTCAGAAGGAGAAAAGGAGAATTAATTTTTCTCTAAAAGGGTTGATAATGTTTTTGATTAAAAAAAACTGCAGAGTTTCTTTACTGCTGTTGGACAAAATATGGTTAATGCACAAGATTTGCAGCTTCCCTTTAGTGGTTAGCAGAGTTAAATCTTCGTATGTTTGCCAAACATTTTCCAAGCAGTTACCTAGAAATGCAATAGGAAGAGGAGATGATGATATTAATAATTCCACCCAAGATGCATGTTTACATGAGTGCTACTCAGCTAGAGTTTCAGTGTGCCAAAACCAGACTGTAGCCCCTGCAGTCTTGGCTTCTTTGACTTGGAAAGAATTGATACACCAGATTTTGTCGAGCTTTCTCTGCTTGGAGCCCTGAATGCAAAAGGGAAAGGTTTCTTACATGTTAGTTACTGCATTTGTGTTGCTTTACTCAGGAGAAACTCAAAACTATTGGCACTCAAAAGACTGCAGAAAATCACACACGAGGCAATGCAATTTTTCACAAAAGCTCTTGCCAGGTGGAAAAGGAGTTTATTTCAACCAGTGACACCACTTCCAAACACTATACATTTGAGTGAATTTTTTTCCCATTATTACATTCCACTGGGCAGCTCTCCTATTGTCAGTCCTGTTTAGTAAGATATGGGTTATCTGTCTGGATTGCTCATTGTGTTAGTTTCTAAACTGTGACTGTATAGTTGCTAGGCAGAGGTTTAAACCACCTCCAATAGAGAAGGAAGAGTGAAGCAAAGTGTACTGACTGCAACCAGGAAGATCTTATTGACTACGAGATCCTTGATTGGGGTTATCAAAGTGGGCCAATCAGGGAGCCCTGGGTGATAGTTATCAACAGGAAATTCAGAATCTCCTCACCTCAGGGACTGATCCTGAGCTGCCTGGCCACAGCCAGTGTAAATGAGCACATGTAAATAAAGGGTGACTTGATGACAGGATACCAGGCTCTGTGCAGTTATTTCACAGAGATAATAGAAATAAGCTATTGTACAATTACTTTAAATTACTGATTATAGCAAACAGGACAGATGTTTTCAAATATTCATTACTCGTAAGGTTAACACTGTTGAGTTTTTTTTGGGTCAACTTGCTCTATTTTGTCAACAATAAAGATAAATGTACTCCAGAATCATCTGTATACTTTCTAGATTTTAGAGCAATGTCAGCAAACTCTGAATTACTGGAGCTTGAAAGACACCAGGGTATGACTCTTCTTTTGCTGTCTCATCCCGGAACAGATGGATAAAACAAGATAATAATGGGAATGAGATTCACTGGCACCAGAAAACAGATTTCTCCAAATTGCTAGCCAGCAGATGTTCTATCCCAATAACTGCATGAAAGCTACGACACGTTTTCTATATTATTTCAGGATGTGGGTATCACTGACGATACAGCATTTATTACCCATTCTGGGTTGCCCTTGAACAGATGGTGGCGAACTACCATCTTGAACCACTGCTGTCCATGTGGCGTACATACAGCCACAGGGCTTTATGGAAGGGAGTTTCAGGATTTTGTCCCATGGCAATGAAGTAATGGTGATACTGCTACAAGTCAGGATCATGTGTGGTTTGGAGTTGTATTTCCAGCTTTCAGTGCTCCCATGCATCTGCTGACATCCTTCTCAGGCATAGAGGAGGGTGTTGTGAAAGGACCACTGGAGAATTGCTATAGTCCATCTTGTAAATGATACACGCTGCTGACACAGTGTATTGGAAATGAAGGGATTGAATGACTAATGTGGTGGATGACAAAGAAGTGGATGGTGTAAAGCTTCTTGTGTTGTTAGAACTGTACCCATCCGGGTTAGTGAAGAGTTTTTCATCACACTCCTGACTCATATCTTGGAGATAGTGCTTAGGTATTGTGAAGTTAGGAGAGTTACTCACCAAACTTATCAGCCCTAACCTGACTGTTACCTAGGTCTTGCTTCATATGGCCATCAACTGTTTCTGGTGCTGAAGAGTTGCAAACGCTGGTGAGCATTGTGTAATCATCACCAAACATCCTCATTTCTGACCTTATGATGGAGATGAGGTCATTGACGAAGCAGCTGAAGATAGTTGGGCCGAGGACTCTACCCTGAGAAACTCCTGCAGTGATATCTTTGGACTGAAATGACTGACCTCTAACAACTACAAGCATCTTCCTTTGTGCTAGGTGTGACTCTCATTGATGCAGATTTTTCCTTTATTTTCATGGACTCCAGTTTTATTAGGACTCCTTAATGCCACACTTGGTCAACTGCAGCCTTATTGCCTATCGCCTCACTCTGGAGTACAGCTCTTCTGTCCATGTTTTAACCAAGGTCAGACATTGTGTCACCCTGACAGAACCCAAAGTGCTGGTGATCAGGTTTTTACTGATGAAGTGTTACTTTTATAG